CCCCTAATAGGCAACATCTTCAGTGCATACACTTCAATTCAATGAAGTGAGCTTTTTAGATTTCTCCATGTGTTTATTAGTCATCTCTCCTGGTGGGTAACCTTGAACGTGACTGGTTACTTTTGTGTGTTTTCATATCCTCTAGGCTACTTGTATTGGTATTGGTGCTGATTGTTTCCTTGATCCTTTGTTTGGGAGATTTTCTTCTTATCGATTGTAAATTTTGTCTATCTCGATGTGTCTATTGATTGATGATTCACTGGAATACCAAGCAGGCTTCTAAAAATTCTCTAGCATTCCTGGTGTTTCCTCTGTCTAATATATGAACGTTGTCCCAATCGAATTGGTGTCCGTGGTTGTCTGTATGCAGGGAGGCTATATGAGGGAGTGGATATCATGTCTTCTGAGAGCCAATTTATGTCCATGGATACGAAGAAGAAGGGGACGTCCACCTTAACCGATGTAGTGTTTTTTTCGCAGTTGATACAATCTATTTTGTAGATGATGTTGGTTTTATCTTTTTCCGCTGTTGAGTCTTTTGGTTGACACAGAACCAGCTGAGTGAAGTGATTTTGTTGGTTTGTGTGCGACATCAATTCCTGAAAGTTTGAAGAGTCATGCAGTGATTTGTGAGATATCCTTTATATATGGTAAGTCAGAGAAACAACCAGCTCCAATACAAGTAACCCAGAGAGTGTGGAAACACACAAAAATAACCAGTCACGTCCTGGTGTTACAATGCAACCTAGATGTAACAACATCCTTATAAAGGAAATAAATGGAAGCATTACTGAACAACCAGTATTTCCATTTTCCATGCAGTTGGCAAAGAAATACAGCATCATCTATTATGTAAAGACTAAATGATACCTACTACCCGGTTGCCCGAACCCTGGCGGCAGGTAGAGAGAGGTGGGGAATCTAACCAGTAAGTGAGTGAGTGACATAGTGGTTACAAAATTGAATGAATCCTTAGATCAGGGAGTTACAGCCCACTGGTTCCATATTTCAGTCCATCATTCATTATATTCTACCAACTTTGATAGAAATCAAAATGAACCTGTGATGCACTATTAACAACTGGATTACAAGGTTTCGAGGATGAATTATTGCCCCTCATCACCATATCAATTTCGGTCACACGTTTTCGCAATTTGTCTTATATATACTTTTCTCTCTATTCTGTCCCTCCAACTTCCCCCCGCGTTGTTTGTTGCCACTTTCCATAACTCTGGTGTAGAGTACCATCAGCTCCAACGGGTTGATCTCCAACGAAATCTCAGCACGAATACAGAGGGCTAGTTTCGCATATGCCAGTTTACGCCGTCTCTGGCGTAGACGTGATATCCGACTATCGACCAAAGGGCGTGTGTACTGCTCAACATTCCGCTTCATCCTCATTTATGGCTGTGAGACCTGGCCATTGAGAGCAGAAGACATGAAAAGATTAGCTGTCTTCGATCATAGGTGTCTGCGTTCTATCTCCCGTGTGAAGTGGTATAATAAGGTGAGCAATATTGAGGTTAGGCGTCGAGTGCTAGGTAAGGCGGGGAAATCAGTCGACGAGACTGAGAAATTACATGGACGGGCAATCTTAGCTGATATAGGGTCAGGCTGGAAAAGAGCTAGCGGTGGTCAAACGAAAACATGGCACCAGGCAATGAAATCTACAACAGTTAGTCTAAGCCACGTAGGAAGGTGTAGATCACCAGACTGGTTGGGGTCCTCGGGACGGTAAAAACCAATGGTTGGAAACAATTGGTGACATGGCTCAAAATCGTTCTCAATGGCTGGCGCAGATGCAGCCACTCCTTGTGACTCATGATTTCCAATGAAACTGTTTTGTTCTTCGTTATTACTATTCCTTTCTCTCACACCTCTGTATACTGTCTCTAATATGCATTTCTCCTACTTTTTCCTCTTCCTTTGTGTGCTACATGGAGTGTGGCGACTTGAACTGCCGCACATATGTGCAAAGTTCTATGTCGAAGACCGACCGACCGACCTGGTATAGGCGTTACATCATTCCGATTGTACGTGTGCGGTGTTGAATCGATAAACAAAGATTCAGTGACTAGCCTTCCTCTGTCTCTCCATCTAACTATATTACATTTTAATACTCTCACCCTGTCCCATTCACCTGATTGTATGTGATTACATGCAGGTGAGTGCAGTGCAATGGTTGAGCTCAGCTTTTTCTAGGTTATTTAACTTAGCAGGGTCAATTATTCTAGATCTAGCTCAATTTTAATGTTCCGATAATCTAATTGACCCTGATCTACTAGTTTGACCTATGTAACTGACCTCACTCACAGTCATTACATGGTATTTGGTAAATTATATTATTTTTCAAAAGAATGGATACTGAACAAAGAATACTCTTTTCGATAACTTCATCGTCAAGCTCTACAGTTATATATACATTATGGTAAATGAATGAATTAGTGTTATGAACAACATTAATGTTGTGCAAATAACATCGAATCAATGATAATAATATCAATAGATTACAGTTCGATAGCATCAACATAAAATAAGCTGAATGTCAGAAAGATTAGGAAAGATAACATTACAAATTCATAGTCTCTACTGAAGGCCAGGACTTGCTTCTTTTGAACACAGAGCACTGGTTGTTTGAGGCGAATTGCGATAGCCTCTGCTGTCTGGAGAATGCTGTGCTTCAAAGATTTTGGAAATTTATTAGGCACCCGGTAGATGATAGAGAAGGATTCTACTACGCTGGCTTTGTGGCCGGTTTGCACAAGATGGTCTAATATCGAGCTGTTAATAGTTTTAACTACAACTTTACTTAACCATAGTGGGAGATGTTCCCTAGTGAGCACGAAAAATCAAGTTCCTAAAGCAACGGCCATCATAACTGGCTCTACAAGCGCACTTGAATTGGAAGATACAATTTGAAGTGGCCAGCTAGTCTAGGTACTCCACCTTCAAATTGAGGGATCACCATCGGTTGTGTAGAGAATAAGACGTGTAGTTCGCCAGCATTAAAAGTTCTTTGAATTAATTTTCTTAACTTCTTCGTAATTATTTCGCTAAGTATATTGTTCTTGAATCGCAGCCGTATTTGTAAAGCCTTCTTCCTTACGAATAGTGAATAGTCCTTTTCAACTTTCTTCGTCATGTATTTCTTGATGAATTTGTCTGGATAGCTATTTTCAATCAAGGTGTCGTATACAATCCTTAGTTCATCTTGAATTACCTCCTCTGGCTATACAGCTTTAACATAATGGCTGTGGGTCGTTGCTAAATTTCTCATGTGCTTGAGAGGAACGAAGCTGTGAAAATGTGTATATTGTAACTGGGTCTTTTGGGCGAGTCCTTAAGTTTATTTCTGAGAGAATCGGTTGCCTGGTTTAAATGCCAACCTAATTTTAGCGCCATTGAGAACTCTACGTAAGGCTTTTGACGTCCCTTTTTTATACGGTAGCGGTACAGAGACTTTGAATTCTATATTATTTCCGTAACTTTTATTGCTATTCTTAGTATTTCTTTGGTTCTTCATATATTTCTGAATAAATCCCGGTGGGCGATGAATAACTCTACAGTTAATTTGTGGTGAGAACTGGCTGCTAACCAAATTGGTAGACAGGAATTTACGTCAGTGTTTACGTCCCTAATATTGGTCGTGAGAAAAATAAGAGCAAAGACTGATTCAACAACCAGTCACATCAGACTTTGCGTAGGCGGATACAATTGGGAGATAGATAATCTGAATTTCAATAAACGGCCACAAAGATGTGGAAGATTAACGTTCAGCGAGAAACCACCACCAATCAGAAGACTGTGTTTGTTTGCTTAAAATAATAATCTATAATAATGTACATAAAAATCTATAATTATCTGTTGATTTCCTAAATAAAGGATCTGTTACCTGGGGCCCTTGTCTTCTGTTGTTACAAATTACTGAAATGGACTTATCTAATATGGAATTACATCCTACCACAGTGCCCAAGTTCTACATTTGCAATAAAGACGAAATGGAGATGTTCTACCGCAGCTCCACGTCTCACTCAAAACCGAAGGGAATAATAATAATAATGACCTAACAAAGAATTGATTTATTATCATTCATATATCTTAATAAGGGATGATTGACTGAAGGTGAAATAAAAACCCCAAACACGGCAGGACTCGAACCAGCCACCTCCAAATGATCACTCCGACCTTCAACATCAGTTGAGACCACATTCCAAAGTCACACTCACTTACAGAATTGCAACAGTTCAAGTGCACACAATCCATATAGCACTAAAAGGTGTAAGGGAAAAAAAGAAATTCAACCCAACGCAAGTAAGAAATAACCCCATGGGAAAACATGACGGTTCAATAAATATGGGGAATCACAAACAGTGAGTGCATTTGTACCACTGAGAACAATTTCAAACCATATTACCAATAGTCTCAAGGAAATAGATCTTAGTATCTCGAGTAACACAACCCAACCAGGCAGTCAACACCTCACGGGACTAGTTCATAACATCAGTCAAAGACTTCATGAACTGATATCAGCTTTTGATTTGACCAACTCGTACTCTTTTCCAACCTAATCCTACGTCATAGAGATGTGACAAACTGGCTTAAGCACTTAACTTCCAGTCAGTATATCACGGGTTCGAGTCCTACTTCACTTGCCTCAGAGCGTGGACAACTGACTAAGTAAGGCTTATTAGCCCAGTAGTGGGTAACTGAGATATAACTAAATAACTAACTAACTAGTCCTATGTCGGCTAATATTGCCCATCGAGTATGACGATGGCTGAAGCATATGCAAAACCTTGTTTTAGCCATCTCAACCAACACACCTTTACAACGTTATATCGCGACTGACTTATTCTCCTTAAGTAACACTCCACCACCAAATAAGAGAACTAGTCAACAAGCAATGAAACTGGTAATCACTCAGTCCCGTTTCGAGAGGTACACAGAGTGAGAGACAAAGACAATAATTGGACAAAACTACTGTATTTGTAATGATGATGATAGTAATAATAACAGTAAGAATATTGAAATATTATATTAAGCACTCATGCCAAACATATTATCCATAGATGCGTGTACACATACGAAATAAAAGACAAAAATGGCTTGAAGAAGAAATCATGGTAGAATAAGAGTAAATTGTATAGATACACATGTGCATTTGTATTCGTATGTATGTGTGTCGGTGGTGCGTGTGAGCGCGCGCAGATGAGTGCGTATTTTGGAGTGTTAATGTGATTATGAAACAAACAGGTATAAAATTGAGAATACAACAAGAAGACAATTCAAATTAATGTTTAAAAGAATTGTTATTGGCATATAAATGTTGGTTGCATGACGACAATACGAGGGAATATTATGAACTACTTTGGAATATTCGCCTAACAAACACAAAATGCATTATACATACATACACATACACACATACATAGGTACACGGAGACGAAGGACTTTAGTGCGCGATTACGTTATGCAAATATGGAGGCGAAACCAACTGCATATCAATCTGAAATGAAGAATTAATACAACGAAAAAGGAATACAATATTAGCCATTATTGATAAAGAGTAATCTTTAGAGAACAACACCACACCGCACATATTAATCATACTGACTAGGTAATTTGTAAGTGTCAGTTGGCACGGATTTTATTTCAATTTTGATAACGAAATGAATTCCGTTAGGGAACCACAACCACTAATAACTAGGGAGAATTAGATAGCTGTTTCGACCTTGTTTGAAACTCTTTATCAGTACGCACCCATGACTGCACCCGGGATTCAACCAAGGGCCTTCAGGTTACAACGACAGCTCGTATCCTGACCGATAGCTGCTACCTTGACGTGGTGGTCGGGCTTGCACATTGCAATGACCCAACAAGCTACACTGACTGGAACCAATGTTCCTGCAGGTCCTACCATGCCAGGAAGGTAGTAGGGGTAGCCATTAGACTAAAAGCAGTTATCGGCATAGTGTAACAATTTTTTACACTATGCTGGGGATCTGTGGGTGAAGTCATACTGCTGGGGAACAGCGATGTAACAGCAGTGAGGTGTTTCCCTCAGATGACCAGCATGCCAGCCAGCTATGCTGTCTCTCCACTCTGGAGAGAGGGAGGTTAGAAAAGGTCGAACCCAAAAATTGTACTTCCCAACTTACCCTATGGTGGTCCGTAACCGGCGGTAAGTTTACTAACACAGAACCAAACCAAGAGACCAGTGTTCATACAGGCCGTGTGTGACCGGCCTCAAGCAGTTGTCCCCTGGGCTCTGCGGTCACGCAACACTAACCCTCTCTCTGTTTCAGGTACCCGAAGAATCAAACAACTTCCACGGTGTGGGCAGCCGGGAAGTAACAACCACCCACACACTTCCACAGATAGACAGCCTGTATACCATTCAGCCACTAGAATGGAATCTAATGGTCCATCAATTCCAACCTGCGCTAATCCACGATATACTGCGAAACCACCCGATAATGTCATCCCCATGAGTAGTTGTCTTAATTCTAATCTGCCACCATAGCGTCAACCTCAAAAATTGCACATCACCTCTTATCCTGTGACGGTTGGCAGGTAGTCGGTGACAAGTTTTACATACGGACACAACTTCAAGAAACCACTTCACATAGGCTGTGTATGACCTTCCAGCTCTGTGGTTACAGTACACTTGAGCACCTTCTGTTTTAGGTAACTTAAGGAAAAATAAACTTTCTCAGCGTGAGCAGCCGGGAAGTAATAACCAGACGATGGACTTGTCCATTTTGACGGGATTAAATTCTTGATGTCAGTCCATGTACTAGGTTTCGCAGTTATGCTTGATGAAAGTAAGAAGGCTGGAGGAGTTATGATACAACCGTCCTAAATCACCTACCTACCTAGGAGATAAAATCGTCCAGTTTAAATTTGTGACTTCTTGATTAATAAGTCAAATGGTTGAAGGCAATCAGAAGGAAGCCTTGCTTTATCTAAGAGGTATCATGCATGTTGACATTCCTCAGCTAAGCGTATCTGTTAACATGAAGCAGCTGATGTCCCCTCTGAAATTCGAGTCCGTACTACTCCTCACTGATACAGCGAGAAACGTTACAACCACTGTGCTGAGCTTTTCGGGTTTACGACTGATTTCCTGTAAGACTGCAATGAATACACATTTTCAAGTCAGTCAAATGCTGAAGCCAATGAACTATACATACATCTATTATATACATAAAAAGGTAACTACCAAATATGAAACAGAAATCCAAAAGTTGTTCAAAAGCTTACTAGAATAAACTTACTGGGGTTATCATGATGACTATTCAGCATGGAGTCGAATACGTCGCCCGTCAAATAGTTTACCATCATAAAGGTCTGCATAATATATACAGCAAAAAGAGAAAATTCTTAGTGAAATCATTAAATGCATTTCGAAGTGTAATAAACGAGATAGTAAGACAGCAGAATAGCAGTAGTAACAGTAGTAATTATATGTCTAGGTAATGAGTGAATAAGATCACTCCTTGAAAACTTTAGCAGCTATTTTCTACACCATTAGCTTGCAGCAGCAGTTAGACATTTTCTTGACTATCTATACTCAATCGAAATTAACTGACGCAAGAGGACTGATTCCAGTGGATTGTGAGCATGATAAAGAAGGAAAGTTGCTTAAAAGCAAACTTTGTAACGGCTGAGAATATTGGTGGGCGACAAAAGCGAAAATGAAGAGAAAAGAATCGGCGATAGGTAACACCAGACAACTATTTCGGCTTTTTAACGAAACAGGTTGCAAAAGGCAAAACATAAGTAAGGCAATCTCCGAGAAAAGCAGTGCCTTAATAACTTCTCAGAATGGACAACAGGAAAGTTGGAGGGATACTTTGAGGAACAATTTAATTAGCCAACAGCCAGGCTTAACATATGCCCAGCATCCAACACCTATCTGAATGAGATTTAGATATCGATCTTCCATCTGTAATTGGAGTACGAAGGCTGTCTCTATAATCCGATACAAAGTAAAGCAGCAGGACCCGACTGAATGAATCCAGAGGTGCTTAAGAATGAAAGATATAGGTAATGTCTGAGAATCACAGATAACTCCGTCAGGCTGCTGTAAATCATTGCTTATCCCAGTTTACAAGAAGGCAAACAGGTCTTCCTGTGATAATCATAGGGGGGGGTGGGATAATCTTGATTAAAAACAAAAGCTCTGGATTCAGTAAGCATGCGCAGACTAAGTGGTGCTCGGAAAAGACAAGCCTTGGGAAACCAGGCAGGCTTTAAGCTAAGAAGACGGTAAACTGAGCATATATATTTATCCTTCAACAGACCTTGGAACATAGGCACCGTTTACATTTTGTTGACTATAACATGTATTGTACAAGTTGCTAAGAGAAAAAATATGTGCTAACTCACACGATAATAACATCAGCAGAAATTACGTCTTGACATCTGCATTCTAGAACATTCCAACTTACCTGTTAGAAATGCTTACAAATCCATGTTTCCTCTTAGCTTCAAGTTGAGATGTCCAACGGCTGCTATTCAGTGACATACTCAAATGCAGCAGTAACATGGAAAAGTTCAGCAACCGGTAATAGTAAAAAAAATTGGGACCCAAATGAACGATCCACCGAAATGACAATGAAAAACCAATGAAGTCCGCACTATTTTAACATCTATTCAAATGTATGAGCATATCTACGATTCTGTCTTGATCTCTCTTCATTTTGAGTTAGATTTACTGTTATGATCAAGGCTAGGTTATGTGGTTAAGGAATTAGTATTAAGACTAAGTGTTCCCATTAATGACCTAGATACGACCAAAGGTGAATAGACTTTGGTCTTCTTCTCGAAATGCTCTCATGTGGTCAAGCGTTCACAGCCTTTGTCAGGTAAGTCCTATTCATCGCCTTCACGCAAAACTGGAAAGGCGAATACGAGGGTCTGGCGCTTACAACAAATGGAGTGTTGGACAAACTGGTCTAAACTAGCGGAGCTAGAAAACGCTGAATCCAAACCTATGGTGTACATGGGGGCTCCAAAATCCAAACTAATTCAATGAGAGTGGCCTATTCAAGACAGCCACCTTCTGAGAACTAGGTATCTGGGTTGTATCACAGCCCTCGCACAAACTATGATATTTTGTGCAGTGTATCTCTTGGAGGCCGCAATACACCACGCTTAGGTTTTAGCAATTTTGATAATAAGATTAGGTGCTAATTCCCTGGAACCTATACATTTTACAGCATTTGAAACATATATATATATATATATATATATGTATATATATATATATAATCATTCACGTTCCCCAGTGGAACAAATGGCTTCAAGCTAGTGGCTTGAAGTTTCTTTAGCAGTGTTTATTTTACAGGATGGGGTTGCTAGCCTCATGCCCAACCTTTCCTCTTCACCAGTATTATTTCTGGCTTAGCGAGGTAAAGGAGTGCGTCGGCCGGGGTTCGAACCCCGGACCATGTACATGGTCGGCGAGCATCCTAACCGCTATGCCACTGACGCACCAATCACATAAATATTCGCTAAAATCACACACTTCAACCACAGGAATGAAAGGTAAACGTAAAATATAACAGTTTGTACTCAATATAATTAGATTTATTATAAAAAAAAGTTGTTTGATATTAATTCAACTCACCTATAGCTCTATAAATATCATCAGGATTTGTGTAGGCGATAAACGCGATCCCTTGTGAACGACCCTCATTATCCGTGACCAGATTGAAATAACTCATTTCCCCAACCTCTCTAAATATCCTTTTCACATCATTAGCAGAGAGAGAGAATGGAATCTACGGAGAAAAAAGTAATGAAAACCTGCATATCCCGATACCAATTTCAAACACGCAAAAAAAGTTTAATCAAGCAGAATTAAGTGAATTCATAGGATCTCGGTAGAACTCGTCAACTCAATACTCTACACAAGCATATATATATATATATATCCTATCGGAATTTCATTTATTCTACTTATCATTATTGTCATTGTTATTCTTGATTCATTTAAAACTATCTTTTATCACAGTAGCATTATCTTAACTCACTTCAGCATTATTATCACTATTACTATTGTTGGTGTTATTATCATTATTATAACTATTACTATTGATATTACTCTGTTTGCAATTCTTGATATATTCTCTAATGACTAATTGTTTATCTAAGTGATGTAACTGAAGCGCGCAATGCATTTTATCTTAATTTCAATGTGTCATACTCCCTTCCCCCACTTATCTATTTGAACATGACTTGAAAAACATTCGCACCTGTCTTTGTGTATGACTAATTTAATGTAGTTTATTTGCTTATTTGTCTTGTATATCTGCCAATGAAATTCCGATAGGATATATATATATATATATATATATACACTGTTAGAGAGAATTGACAACGTGACTGACAACTGCTAGTTTGAACCTACCCGTTACAACGATTCAACAGGTTATGGCAGATAAAGTGAAATTTCCTGTAGGTTCAAACGTGAAAGAAAGGTTGCACGGAATACAGAGATTAGAATAAAAGTAACAGTCAGCAGCATGATAGTAAACAGCTTACGTGCAAATAAACTGGAAGCTGGTGGTGGTGGTGGGTTTGTACCACCACTGGTAGAAATGAAGTATCTCTCTCTTCAGCAACCAGAACGTCGGCTGTATACTGTCTCTTCATCCTCGAAGTAAGGTATTTAAGAAGATCAACTTTGAGAATTTGGCATCCCAACTTATCACACGTATTACGATGCTCTCTCTGTATTTATGCGGTGATCACTCACTCTTATTACACGCAAGAATAATCACAAATATTCTAACAGCTGCACAACAAGCCGCATTTGATCAACCTCCAAGGTGTTGGCTGTCAAAAAGAGTGAACATTTTTGTCCCCATCTAGATAGTGTAAACACATATGACTTACACGTTAGCCAACACAGGCATAAATACGCACCGATAGTAATTTACAATAAAGATTATACATTGAGTGAAATATTTTCAGATATATAGCGCAACAATCAGTTAGTGTCATGGGCGAATAATTGTTCTCTGACCTGACTTTATGAACACCGCCAGTTACGGCTTCACGCCATAGCTCCTGTATACAGCCAGTCAGTCAGTCACTAGTGAGCAACAGATTAGTTATCAAGTGTTGGTTTGCAGAGATTTGACTGGTTACAGGTTTCATCACGAGGTAACATCAGTTAGAAGTTGGAGTTATTCATTTATTTATTTTATTACAACCTTGACTCCACACAGTATTTTTGATACAAATATGGAATTTTCAGCATGTGATATCGGTAGCCCAAATTTAGCAGGCCAACCATTGATGTCAGGTGTGCGTCGGCCGGGGATCTAACCGCGGAACATATGCATGGTCGGCAAGTGTACTAACCACTGTGTCACAGATACACTGGGCCATTAGGTCGGGTCCCAGTGGCTGAATGTCCTACGATCTCGGCTTGTAACCAAAAGATCATGGGTTCCAACCCCAGTGAATGCATACCGCTGAAGAGTTCCGAACTAGAAGGAAAAGGCTATCCGGCACTCCGTCGTTTCTCAATGATTCTCTAACTGATGTCAGCTTGTAACCAGACCTGTAGCTAATCAAATTACTGTAAACCCTGATTCCAAACCTCCAACGACTGGCGTATGAATCTCACTGGAGCTCACCGGCAGACGTATGGACAAAGGGCTTGTTGGATGTCCTGGATGTCTGGCCCCATTCAAAAAGGCGTATGAACCGAACTCCGGTCACCGGCTGCCAATGGATAGTGGACTCCCTACTCCACTCCTACCGCCTTGTAGGTCACACTTGGTTGTGTAAAGGCTAGAGCTGCACTCTCAAACAAAAGGCCGAGCGATTCTGGGGACATCACTCGTACCAAATTCCCATGAAACTTCATGAACTCTCTTACCTTGTCGCAAAACCTTGCAACAGATCGCCGCGCCTGGGCAGCGATGATTCGAGATGTTCATGAAGCCGGCTCATCCTTCCGTAGGAGATAGCCGAAGTAAAGTAAAGTAAGTAAGTAAACGAACACTTGACATTTCTAGATAATAAAAAAATTTTGCTATAGACACATTTCTTTTACAAATAACAAGACAACATCACTGGAACTCTTAGAGTTTAACATAATTTAGTGCGTAGATTACACTAATCTTATAAGCTTAGAACAATGTGACATCATAATTTTTTTTTAATAACAATCTTACATTTTTCACAATCAACTTTTCGGTTGCATTCCATCGACTATTATCATACTGTGAAACATCTTCACCACGTCCGCGTCCTCCATGCACATAATTGCCTGCAGGTTCAGATCTCATCATAGGAACAGTACTACGCGAGTCTAGACGATAATTTCCTGGTAAATGAAAGATGATGATAATAATAATAATATTAATAGATAAGCAATACGAGAATGAAAATATCAGTGTGATTTGCTCCTTTGAAGACTACCACCCTAGCGTAGCGTGTAATATACATATATATATATATACATATATATATATATATATATATATATATATATATATGGACGAATTCAAGCATCTGGTGATAATAAGGTGAAGTGTATTACAACCTCCATTGGAAAGTATACGAGAAAAGTGCTAGAAAGCATATTACTAGAACAGGACAATCATCATTCAGTGCAACAGATGAAAGAAAAACCGCCTACAACATATATCTTTTGTTGGTCAAGAATTCAAATTACTTAATGCTTAAGATAATTGATATCTCAATCAACATCAAAAGGCGACTACTGTTCAAAGTGATGCTACCATTCTATTCTACCTAACTGCATAAAAGAAGACATAAACTACGATATAACAACTAATTCCACTCGCGAAAATTATGTCCATTATTAAGCAGAATTATGAGCGAACCCGGTGAAGACAAATAACGCCAATAACCATATCACAGAGCTTGACAGAAAGACAGATATCTTAGACAAACCAAGCGATATAACCCGTTCCGCATTATTGTTGCTGCTTACTACTACTACTATTAGGAAAATGCATACTTCAAAGAAACTTCTTCTTTATATCGAAAAATAAACAAGCAGCTATACACCAATTGACAATAGAATAAGTGTTTTGAGTTAAAGGTGCTGCTGAACAGAAAATGCTGAAAATATACCCCCCGAAAAAACAAAATACTTCGCATTGCTGGTTAAAGCATAAAAATATTACTGATGCAAAAGAAGAATTCGTAAATGAACAAAATCCAACAACAAGCGTTGAACCCAACAGATATACGTGTTTAAACACTTCCAGACAGACAAACAAATACATACACACACACACACAAGCAAAACAGCAACGACATTCTAGCTCACCTGAAGTATCATATTTTAAGTGATTTCCGCTGTCAAAACGTGAATTATCAAAGTCTCGATCACCAACAACACCACCAACAACCCCACCAGCAGTACCATGTCGACCAACGATATTTGAACCATTCAACTGACCAGACTGATCCAAATGAGAACTCTACACATATATATATGTATATGCGTGTGTGTGTGGAATAGATAAGAGGTGAAACAACTGAGAACAAAACGACCAAGTGAAATAACAACGGACACAACACCAGTTCATGTATGTAAGCATACCTTGACTGCAAAATAAATACTAATGAGGAATAACAACCATCAATAACACATAAATACTCTGTAGGACTGAATTCCAAAACTGATGAGCACATCCTTTCAATAATAACAAGTTGTATACAACAAAATGGATACTGATGAAATTAAAATATACGAAGATAACAGTTTTATAGATGTTTGTTTTTTCCAGAGAAACTGATCAACATATTCAGCTGAAACTCCGATACAGAACACGTCACTTGATAAATATCCATAAATAATCATAAATTTCCTTCTAGTTAGATCACACACTCTAAGGATAAACACCAACTATCAAACAGATGATGAGAACACGCAAGCATAGATATACTTGTAAATTTTCTCTCTACTCACTCGTATTTCAAAATTCAACACAGTACACAACAAAATGACAAGTAATCATATCCAATATAACGAAGTGTTGAAATGTCGCAAAGAAGAATACAGATGTTCATACTTGCAACTAGTTAGTATCTTGTTGTCTTTGATCCATCTCTTCAATTTCAGCAGAACACCACCACCACCACACAGTAAACACACAGCTACCCGCACCCCCACCCCCACCTGACAGATACCTCTATTTAGCAGGATAAATTACATTCACAACTTATATTAGCACGGTCGGTCAGTCAGTCAGTCAGCTAGCCAGCCCACAACCGTGACTACTAACCACAGAATTTATTTTCCACAACTGAATGTAACTAGATACACGTGCAAGTTGAATTCTAAAACAGGTTTCGTAAGGTGAACACTCAATATCAGTCGCTCTGAAAGTTAATAATGATTCATTTATTGCGAAATTATGATAGAGAACTCAAAAAATGCGACAAAGACTAAGAATCCCAACTGTTTCAAAAGAAACCATACACATACGACAAGCTGATACGTATATGACAATAACCACTGTATGTATCTGGAACAGCTGCAGATGTGTCACAGATCGAGTTGTTTGTTCAAATATTTTTTTTTAAGTTGTCGTTTTAGTGGTGAAATTTTTCAACATCCTGCTAAACAATCATCAGTGATAATGTCAAGTCAAACACTGGAACACATTTGTTACACAAAATCCTAGGTAAGCTGTAGTGTACAGTAGCAGCTTAAGTACACACACACACACACACACACATGCACATACCTGAGACAGACCAAGAGTTGACAATACATTGGCTATTTGTGACTGAGACATCCCACCTGCGGCAGCTGCTGAGATCAGTTGTTGTAATCCCTCGTCTGTAAATTGGCCTGAACCAAGTCGATTCCCCCCTGAACCTAATAGTAGTAGTTGCAAATGTGTAAAGTAAAGTCGAGAGATGACAAAAGAAACATTCCAGGATATACAGAACAAGAATGGAACTTTATAACACCGAGGGATGAGATAGTGTTTTAAGTTGAACAACTATAACTTGAAAACCAGGCTATGATATGAATGAAATCCTAAAAAGAAAGCAACCACAAAATGTAATGATGCATAATCCTCTTTATTTTTTTTTTCATTTCCAGGCGTTTCAAGTCGACCATGTAGCTTCAAGCGTTGCGTTGATGTCTTAGTAACGCTTTATTACAGAGTGAGGTTGTTAGCCTCACCCCCGACCTCCCCCTCTTTGCAACGCCTACTGTCAACCAGTAAACTATACAACGTCTAGGAGTGCATCGACCAGGAATGAAACCCGGATCTCCCGCATGGCTTGGTTAACACTCTTAATTGAAGCACCAATCCCTCTCTTTATTGTTAAAATCAGAACATGCTAAAATTATGAAAAAATTACTGACATCTGGTGTTTACGACTTTAATTAAGGAAATGTATTATTATTATTACTGTTAATAGTAGCATTACTTTACTATTCCCTAGGGTTTTCGATGGGACACATGGCTTTAGCAGAACAATACCATTTCATTTTGTTCTCTACAGCCTCTCCCAGTTGACTTTGACATTCTCCTCCCACGATCTACTTCATTTGTCACCTTCAGACTCACGCCCAACTCGACGTCGTTTCCCATTAGGAATCTACTCGACAGTCTGGCGCGTGATGTCATCCCACAGTCTACTCCGTATGTGTCAAATCTGCCTCCATTTCATTCTGTATATTTATTGGGCAATAAGGTAGGTTTCTTGATTGCCTCGTCCTCCTCAGAGTTCCTTGTTACTAAACCTTTCTAGCCATCTCTCTAATTAGGATAAATAGTAGTGAACTTCTTGTGAAACCCTGAAAACTTAAATAAATGTTCACAGAATTTATAACGTGTATCCAATCATCAATCAAGGTAAGCTTCTCCACAGTAACTCTATAAACATTTGTAAAGCCATCTATATAACATTGGCTTAAACAATATGTTGCTTTCATTACAGAAACAACGATAGAATTTTAAAGACAAATTCCACATAGTACAGTTAGTCATCGGTCTCGAAAAGATATAGAATCCCATATTACACTTCATGAAGATTCACAAGGTTGCTTTGTTCAGTCTTTTAGATAAAAATAGAGGAATTATAAAATTTGGGTTATAATGCACATAATAAAACACAATACTAAATCTGTTTAAAAATATATAATAAAACCTATTGAAAGGAATCATACTCTGTGAAACATTTGACAACGAATGGTTGCCAAAACCCAAAGAACCGTTAGATTGTCCAGATGACAAAGCATTAAGACCTCCAGCAACATTTGTATTCCCTCCCAGAGTACGCAGAATTTCAGCTATCCCACCACCTTGGGGATTCGAATCCACAGTTGTCTTGAGACCAAGAAGAGTTAAAAGAGCGGCAATAAGGTTTGAAGACTGTCCAGTTGAAGCAGGATTAGAAGTCAGTGGTGCAGTAGAGCCCAGGATGCCAGATGAGCCAGTTCGTGACGGAGGATAAAGTATATCTGACGTAGCAGGAGTACCCTGACGATCAATCTTTACACGCATTGGTCTATCTTTTAATATCTAAAAAAACAGTAATCGGTTGTGTAAGAGGCAGTATCTAAATACAAGTAAGTAATTTATTAGTCTATTTGTGCAAAATAATCAACCATAACATTATTTTAAACATAGTTTGTCGAATTTACTTAATGTAGTGACTCGGTCATACTGCACGCAAAAAGTTAACTTTGAAGGGTTTAACATCCCTTTTAAGAGGCCCACAGATATTATTTGTAACCAATTATTATTGAATAAATAGTTTAAAGTGTTAAACACGGTACAAGTTGACAGTAATTTGCACCAATGAATACCTGATGTCAAGATTGCTCTTATTTGAATAGCGAGGTCTCCATATCAGCACTTTTTTAATTATAAGCAGTTTAGCAGCTTACTTCCTCAGAAAAACTCGTGTAGATGGCAAGAATACAAAAAGTTAACAATCAAACATAGGCAGCACAAAGGGGTGAAATACTCGTGTCTCCTTATTTCAAATTATTGAAAAAGAAAAATTAGAGTGGCAGCAAAGAGAGCGATTTCCTGTGCAGTTCTGACGATCAGTCAAGAATTTAATGGAATATCATGTTTATACTACATATTTTTAATATCGATGGATTTTGATAAACGTGTAATTCAAGTTTATTTACCCGATATTGTGTACGCCTCACTTAATGTTACACCACAAACAGACAAAGTAGATAAATTAGTGTTATAAAACCCCACATATTTTTTCATTTCATATTATGGATCGTATTTCTCGATAAAGTAGCAGAAGAAAGCAGTTCACGGTAGTATGCGGTTGCCATGGCATACATTCAAATATCTTACGTTAATTACGACATAAGGCAGCCCCATCTAACTGACATTTTTGCGTTATTATTGAAATACTAATCAATTATCCACTTAGATGTAGGTCAATAGCTACGGTATACCAATTACAGTCACTAAGTACAGGGTTCGACTTTTACTCTGCCTACTTCAGCCTGGGTAACTGGGCAGCATCATCAGCCCTCACAATGCATGTGGCTTACAGAATCGACAAGTAAGTTCAGGTAAACACCCACCACGACCGATGCGTCTTCTGACAGTTGAATACGGTAATGAACGTAAGCAATTCGTCCAATGGTCAGACTAAGTATCCCAAAGAAACATTCTTCAAGTGGAAAACAAAATGACAATCGTAAATTTAAATATGAAGGCCACCGATATCTATTAAAACCTTGAAAATTCCTATTTAATTGAGAAATATAATTGGCCATTGGCATATTTCACAGTTCTTTTGTGGAAATTCGCCACCATTTCCTTAAGAAACTTAAAATGTTCGGATTAAAATAAATATACGATGCGACAAATAGCGGTTAAAAAAGGCAGGGAAATAGCATGCTATTGTGAATGACTGATTGGTGTGTGTGAATCACGAGTCTGTACTAAAGATATGAAAGGAACAAAGAAAGATGTTACTGAGCACATACAAGAACAAAACCAGCTGATCGTGAAAAAGCAAAGAAGGCCAAATTCGCATTATAAAATGTCATCTTATTTCACAGGTTCGCATCAGCTACCTGAAATTGCAATAGTTATAAAGCAATGAAAATTACAACAATGTTGGAATTATACCATCTTGAAGTTTGATATTATGGGAAAGTCGAAAAGGCGAAACAATCAACTATGGAAAAGTAAAAATACTTATGTTCTTCATACAAAGGAGTAGTATGCCGAAGGATTAACGAACGAATAAAAGGAGCAGTGAACAGATGTTATCGTGCAGCTAAGTTAGTATCGTTACACCGTACCACACAATCAATAAACAAATCTAAGCTAGCTAAGTAACCTGTTGATTTCACCTCCAAATACATCTATAAAATTACTTGCACTTGCGGCAAGTCTCCCCTCGTTTTTTACTTCAAAATGCGTATACACTGATGGTAATTTGAACTAAAAAGGTGGAGTGATGACTACGTTCCGAACACTTTAATTTATAATATTTTCTTCGCTACCATCCCAATACTGTAGTATATTACTTTCATTCCCCAATGACTATTATAATTTTAGGAAGCATGTAGTTGAAGAATGTCCGTGAAGTAAGATGACATCACTCATACTTAAAATCTTGTCTTCCGTGTATTATGAAGGTTTTTCAAGGTAACTGCTCTCATAGAGCGAATTCAGCCCCTATCTGTTAGAAAACAAAGGTTCATCAAGTTGACATGACTGGAAGGAGGACTTTGAAGTCCCTGTCTCCTTAGACAAACACTGAAAAGTATAAAAATTGTTACCCGACCAGATCACTACAATCTACAATATTCCTGAAACGAAATTTACTATCAGAAAAATCCAGAATTCATCAAGATACAATATCACTTTCATCTTGTCTGCAGTGTGTCGGTTCTGGAGTTTTATCGTGCAAGTCAAGTCCTAAAAACATCCCACTTATTGTACTCACCTGGTTGTTAAACATACTAACAGCTTGAACAGCTTCATAAGGACTTGAAAACTTTAATATGCCAACTCCACGTGATTTTCCTTCAGAGTCTGTTTTAATAACAGAACTGGTGATTTTTCCTGCTAACTTAAATACATCCTTGAGTTTCTGCCAGGTCACGCTATAATCAAGCTGCAGAGAAAAGATTAAGAACAATGAGTATGACCTACATTACTAACATACACCGAATCTGTAATTGGACCTTCAATACCCATTTGATTAAGCATCTGTGGGGTGTAAATTGGTCCCACTGGCGCTGAGTTAACTGTTTCACTTGTATTCATGGAGTCACTTGGAAGCGGGGTATCCACCTCCATTGTTGCAATACGAGCAGCATCACGAGCAGTTTCTTCTCGAACGACCAGCTTTCTGTCCCCAATTTCAAATCGGTGCATTTTTTCTATAGCTTTTTCAGCCCCTTCAATTGTCTTGAACTCCATCAGACTTAGATATTAAAGAATGTCAGCATATGTATAAACCACCTTACCCCATCCCGTTAGGCTTGCCATTTTTCTTAAACAACTGCAGGAAACCCGTGAATCCAACTGAACACAATATTTATTAAAAACTCTGAACTTGCTTTGTTCTCTGAATAATTCTTTCAACTTTTGCCAATTAAGATCATATGGAATGTTAGCGATAACTATGCGCTTTGATTTCACTCGAACGCGACGAGGAGAGCGGCTTCTTGATCTTCTCTCAGTAGATGAACGACGCCTTGCAGGACTATGATCATCTTGACTCCTGTGAATGAATTAATAAAGACTTAAAACCTAACCTTTCACTTGAGAATGAGCTCATTGTCAACAGAGAGCAAGACAGTCAAAAAGCGCGCGTAAGACAACCACTTTGGAGACAAACAGTACAATTTCCAATTATTAATGCTTTATACTTCACATTTACAAAAAAAACCTTACATACTCACAGGTTAAAGTTCTCCTGAACATTGGTAGAGATGCTGTGATCTAATGTTACTCTGAAGGATAAACAAGGTACTGGGAATACATGAAAAATTAGATAGGCATTATTAATTCGACTGTGTTCAGAAATTGGAAGGAATATGCAGCCTTGGCCCTTCGCAAATAGGTATTGCTACCCTCCATATTTCGCTAAACATGTACTATGGTATTTTTGCTCTTCACACATGAAGCAAATAATAGGTTTTAATTTAATAGCTTTTTCCGTGTTCGTTGTTGGAATCAATTTTCGCTAGTAAAAATTAGTATGTATTCTCCATCTGCATTTCTAATGTCCCTGCATCTTTCATGAGTTACTTTACTGCCACCGTTGTGAAGAAAGTTTCTCAGTTACCTTTGTAACTTTCAACATTTTAAAAGCACCACTAGTGCAATCGAACTACTGTGTAGTTCTTCATCAGTCACCGCAGCCGGGAAATTATCTAATACTACAGCAAAGATCATATATAACACTGGAAAGTTGTAATTGGATTACTACGCTGGATGTCGAAGTGGTGACTTTGCCACGGATAAAGAGTTAAAAGGGTGATATCGCCCAGTATTTTATTAACCCAAATGATAGTACCAGTCTTTCAATCACGTCCCTTGCGAATATCGATTATTTTTGTCATAAATAGTAAAAATTCTCGACCGTTAAAATCTTCGTCCAGCCGATAGCTGACAAAAAATTTGCCAGGCCAACACACCATGAGTTTGTCTTCATTGGAACACCCACGAGTTATGATGACTCCCACATGTAAAAACAAAGGAACACCCCTGCTTGTGATATCAAAGTCGATGATACAGGTTCCCTAATGCGGTAAAGCCTTACTGAAGTATCGGTTATCAAGTTGACAATTTCAGATTATACACTGAATCAAAACCATGCTGTGCATCATCTTGTCAGTGTACTGGCGGTTTAGTACGGTGGTCGGTAGCACAAATAAGTCATAAGCTTCTCAGTCAGGCAATTCACTTGTAAGAAATTCATACACCGACTCCGAGCTGAGAATTATGCCGAAAACGAATCAAAAGCGTGAGCTAGGAGTTATTTTCCTCGATTTTTCGTTTTTTACTCTGGATTTTAGTGTATAATGATTGCAGGTTGCATTTCCGTTCGTCATTCAACAGTAGGGTTGTCACTTGTAGAGATGTATTGTGAATACTCTGTCAGAAGGACGACGAAAGCTTCGCAACTAAACCAACCAGCTCAGAGAACACTATTAATTGCAAAACTGTGTCAGTTAAATCGATCGAAAAACCGGCCAAATGCCTTTTGTTGGGTCTTTCATTATGCTTTTATTTTTGTCCCAAAACATCAATAAAGTATATGATAACAAATCGAACCTTACTTTTTCATCCCTCCAATAAAGCACCATAGATGTTGCCAGAGTTAAATAATAATCGAACCGGAACTCTGTCCAATAAAATAACGGATTGGCAGGGGTTAATTCAGCTCGTGTTATGCTACAGGGATGAAATAGCACAGTGAATTCAACCTGACATCAAATATTTCATCTGCAACCTTCAATTCCTTTATCTGTACCGACGGCAGCCAGTCGGGTAATGTGCGCACAGTTGGATTTTCAGGGACCATTAATGTGTGTGTTGCTCTGCCACTGTGTATCCACATGCTTCCAACTAAATACACATTTGAACCGCTGTAACATATCCTGCCCTCGTTGGGCTGGTGATAAGAGTAGCCTGTCCACCAGGGTGGGTGGTCGCAGCTGTCGAGCCATCCACTTGCGACCAAAGCATTTGTCTAGTAGAACAGGTGTCTGCACGCCATTCACGAACGCTGTTTCTATCTGAGGCCATCATAGAATTAACCCTAATTCACTCGAGCAACATAACCTACCCCCTCCCAAGAATCTGTCCATCAAGATACTGCAACATTTGTTACCCTGTGGTCAGCAAGGGTAATTTCTCCTCTTACCACTTGAATGATATAAGGAAAAATCCTCCCACCAAGTTAAATAGGGTCAGAGTAAGGATTTAGCTAATTATACGATAACGAATTTCACCTGTCACTGTAGTTTGCGACATAACAATCTGAGTGGCTTTGCTGCATATCCCCACTAACTGTGTCGTCGCAATGCGTTGCCATGTTAGTTTAATGGCAAGTTAAATAGTTATATGCTTTTTAAATAAAATTTTGCTCTAAAAACTTTTCTGACGTACATGTGTCATCCCAATCATCAAGCAATGATCTGAAACAGAGAGCAAAGCGCACGTTAGCAGAGTGATCACACAAATGCCGCGTGCTAGCACGAACGGCGACTCAGGGTCAAGGGTTACATTTACAACCAATCATAATACAATTAGGTGAGAGGGAAGGGGCACTGCTGTCGGTCATCCGTTGCATCGTCTTGGGCGACTGATCCCTGCACGCTACGTAGCAAACCTGAAATTATACAAGCATAGTTTGAACATCCAAAAGCCGCCGAACTTACCATGCCTTACACTACCCCGTCTCCCATGGGAGCACTGCACGTGGTGCTAGGCGACTGCCCTGCAGGACTTCCCCGAAATAAGGCCTTTTGCCAAAAAGGTTTTGATCTATTGAAATGTGTTACTCGACTATGACGAGAATTGGGTTCCTGGATTCTACAGGTGCAGTCATTTAGTGCATCTACTACAGCAAGTAGTCCCTTCTAGAGTTTGTGGAATTTAAGGGCCTCCCCTTTATGTGGTGCCTCCTTAAGTAGCATTATCTTGTCCCCTGGCTCCATAGGTGATCCATGTGCTTTCCTGTTATAATATTCTTTCTGTTACCTCGGGTTTGTTTTCAGTGCATTCCAAGTAATTTGGTGTACCTTATTCGGGTTTCGTCTCAGTCTGATTACGTGTTCCGATGCAATCAGTGTGTCCTCTCCTAGTGCGTTTGAAGTCAGATCAGTTGGCAATCGGAGTTCTGTTCATGTGGCCATATAATGAGGCGTCTGACGCGTAGCCTTGGGAATGGTTGCTCTATACGCCATTAAGCACTGCGAGAGAGATCGGTCCCATTCCCTAGGGTTGTTTTGGCCTACAAATGCCTGCAGTGGTGATTTAAGTGTCCGATTGGTGTGTTCATCCAAACCATTTCCCTGTGGGTGGTACGTGGTATTTTTTTCTATAGCTTTTTCACCCCCTTCAATTGTCTTGAACTCCATCAGACTTAGATATTAAAGAATGTCAGCATATGTATAAACCACCTTACCCCATCCCGTTAGGCTTGCCATTTTTCTTAAACAACTGCAGGAAACCCGTGAATCCAACTGAACACAATATTTATTAAAAACTCTGAACTTGCTTTGTTCTCTGAATAATTCTTTCAACTTTTGCCAATTAAGATCATATGGAATGTTAGCGATAACTATGCGCTTTGATTTCACTCGAACGCGACGAGGAGAGCGGCTTCTTGATCTTCTCTCAGTAGATGAACGACGCCTTGCAGGACTATGATCATCTTGACTCCTGTGAATGAATTAATAAAGACTTAAAACCTAACCTTTCACTTGAGAATGAGCTCATTGTCAACAGAGAGCAAGACAGTCAAAAAGCGCGCGTAAGACAACCACTTTGGAGACAAACAGTACAATTTCCAATTATTAATGCTTTATACTTCACATTTACAAAAAAACCTTACATACTCACAGGTTAAAGTTCTCCTGAACATTGGTAGAGATGCTGTGATCTAATGTTACTCTGAAGGATAAACAAGGTACTGGGAATACATGAAAAATTAGATAGGCATTATTAATTCGACTGTGTTCAGAAATTGGAAGGAATATGCAGCCTTGGCCCTTCGCAAATAGGTATTGCTACCCTCCATATTTCGCTAAACATGTACTATGGTATTTTTGCTCTTCACACATGAAGCAAATAATAGGTTTTAATTTAATAGCTTTTTCCGTGTTCGTTGTTGGAATCAATTTTCGCTAGTAAAAATTAGTATGTATTCTCCATCTGCATTTCTAATGTCCCTGCATCTTTCATGAGTTACTTTACTGCCACCGTTGTGAAGAAAGTTTCTCAGTTACCTTTGTAACTTTCAACATTTTAAAAGCACCACTAGTGCAATCGAACTACTGTGTAGTTCTTCATCAGTCACCGCAGCCGGGAAATTATCTAATACTACAGCAAAGATCATATATAACACTGGAAAGTTGTAATTGGATTACTACGCTGGATGTCGAAGTGGTGACTTTGCCACGGATAAAGAGTTAAAAGGGTGATATCGCCCAGTATTTTATTAACCCAAATGATAGTACCAGTCTTTCAATCACGTCCCTTGCGAATATCGATTATTTTTGTCATAAATAGTAAAAATTCTCGACCGTTAAAATCTTCGTCCAGCCGATAGCTGACAAAAAATTTGCCAGGCCAACACACCATGAGTTTGTCTTCATTGGAACACCCACGAGTTATGATGACTCCCACATGTAAAAACAAAGGAACACCCCTGCTTGTGATATCAAAGTCGATGATACAGGTTCCCTAATGCGGTAAAGCCTTACTGAAGTATCGGTTATCAAGTTGACAATTTCAGATTATACACTGAATCAAAACCATGCTGTGCATCATCTTGTCAGTGTACTGGCGGTTTAGTACGGTGGTCGGTAGCACAAATAAGTCATAAGCTTCTCAGTCAGGCAATTCACTTGTAAGAAATTCATACACCGACTCCGAGCTGAGAATTATGCCGAAAACGAATCAAAAGCGTGAGCTAGGAGTTATTTTCCTCGATTTTTCGTTTTTTACTCTGGATTTTAGTGTATAATGATTGCAGGTTGCATTTCCGTTCGTCATTCAACAGTAGGGTTGTCACTTGTAGAGATGTATTGTGAATACTCTGTCAGAAGGACGACGAAAGCTTCGCAACTAAACCAACCAGCTCAGAGAACACTATTAATTGCAAAACTGTGTCAGTTAAATCGATCGAAAAACCGGCCAAATGCCTTTTGTTGGGTCTTTCATTATGCTTTTATTT